TGGTTCTAGTATAATTTTCTTTGCTCTCATCTTCACACTTGCTTGCTTTTCCATCATAGACAACTCTCTAAACTTTATCTTGGTTTATACAGTACACAAGATATATTATACAGTACACGCAGTATACGCAGAGTCACAGTTCTTTTATGTTTTCACAGTTAATGCAAAATGGACCACCTGAGCAGTTAAAAACAACTATCACCCATTTGCCCCCACCCAAAAACTCAGCTGAAGTGGGGGATTGAACATAACAAATGACATTGTTCTAAACTGGGTAAACATACTGTATATGCAAAATAGTACTCATAAACTAAAGCCGAAATTCTAATATTTTGATCTTATATACAAATTTTATTTATGTTGAGCAAAATGACACATTTTACTTCTCTGACCCAATTTGTGGTATGGATGTGTGCAATCCCACACATTGCAACTTGGCGCCACTGGCTCCTCCGTCAATCACATAGTCCAAATGTCTGAACCTGTGGTTCCTCTTTTCCTAAATGAAATTACTACTGAAGCAACACTTCATCACAATACTTCATTTCACAATAACAAGTAGAGCTTGCTTAGAGGGATCAAAAAAGAAACTTTGCCATAAACACTTGGCCACCACAGGCCAGTTATTGCCGAGGAAAACTTTCTGACACCTTAAAACCCCCAAGGATTGAAACCAGTGGGTAATTTGTCTTTCCAGTGCAGACAGCTACTGTTTTTACAGGTTTTTCCAACAGTTTATGAGCTGTTTAATTCTGTTCTATCCAAACACTTAAAGGAATTAATGAAGTTCAGATTCAAAAGTAAGATCTGAATGCAAAAATGTTTAACAGTTGATCAAATGAAATGTGTAATATTTCAAAACATTAACTTGCAAACAGTGTTGAATTCTTGTTTTATTTGACTCTTGTAGATTTGAAGTGTTGTGTTTCCTGATGTTGTGCTACAACTCTGCAGCAGTTTATATGCCTTGCTCTTCCTACCAGTCTGCTTGCAGGATGTGTTCACGGTAAGACTCATGTCTCATTTAAGGCATCCTATATTATCTATCATCTAAGATAACCCCAGGAGAAAGCAAGCATGACATGAAGGTACACTATATGTAGATTTTCTAAATCATTTGATTCTGTTTTAAAATTAAGATGCACTCACTTTTGTGTTTTGTTTATAGCACTTTCAGTATGCTCTTTTACCAACAAATTTATTACAGATGTGGAAGACATTTGTTTTATTCCTAAGCTAATGAGAAATCAAAATAGTATTCTCTCAAAATGTATCATACAAATGTTACCAAAGGTGCACTTTTTAAAAAATCTGTCACTATCAATGTCATGTGGGTTGGAATACCTCATTTGATGGTCTAAGTAACAAATAATGTGTCAATATCTATTTGATGTGTATTACAAAACAATCAAGGTTAAGATTAAAATGTTTTTTAAATCTTGTGAATCTTGCTCCTCCTTCC